AAATTACCATAAAGCCTCATGCAGTTTGCAGCAAGCTATCGAATCCGCCTGGTGATTGGGGTGACCGCGAATGTGGCCTGGGACCCCAAATACTTGAGTTTTCAGGGGTCTAACAACTAGTGCAAAAGTAAGATCCTGTTATGTTTCAACTGTATTTCCTTTTTTATTACTTGAGGATTTCATACATGCATATAATGTATTTTCATCAAATCCACTCCCCATTTCCCTCCCTTTAATTCTCCCCCATCCTTTCTACCACCACTTTCCTCAGCCAACTTCATGCTTTTTTTAATACAACGCATTGTGTCCACTTAGTGATGTCTGTATTTACATGGGTGAAGGACCAGTTACTGGAGCACAATCTCTGAAGGGTCATATTCCTGAAGAAATGGATCATTACCTTCTAATGCATTGCATTTTCAAGTTAAACAGAAGTCATAGAAACAAGCTCACTTTTGTCGTGAACTTCAATATCATCATTTGAGCATTTCATAAATAACCATGATTAGCAAAAGAAGCACAGAAAACCCTCCGAAATTTTTGGGAGAGAAATGACAAAGGTACAAATGACTATGACCTCAGCAAATGCGTGGGTGAAGAAGACACAAATAAAAAGCAAAGCACACACTTAGTTGGACCCTATTGAACCAGCACATTAAGTGCACCTCATCTCTCCATGTCACTACAGTTTCATGTCATGAATAACTGTTCTAGAATATAACACTTGAAGAAGAAATAGTGTTTGAAGTATGAGGCTAACTGATTATAATCTTTTGAGATAAAACAGCAGGGGGGTGGTGAGTTTTAAGGGTTGTTTAATATCTGTTCCTTAACAACCAAAATCCAAAGTAAAGCAGTCCTACTTTAATTTTGTACTAAGAAATCCGCCTCTCCTTTGGGGAAAGCAGTGAAAGAATGAAAAACAAAACAACAACAACAAAACAAACTAAGAGCTAAGACTTTAAAAAGGATAACTGTCACAGAATCTTCACACAATCAATTCTGCTTTTTGAAACCATTATATGAAGTTATCTAGAGCAATGTCATAAGTGAAGGAACCGGCTTCCCTTTTGGCAGCCATAACAGCCGAACATGTGCTTGCCATATACCTGCCTTGGTCACTTAGAGGTCAGATGCCTGTCTTGTGACAAGGAACCAATCAGAAGTTAGCTGGTGGCGCTATGCTTTACGACCCTGGGTGTGCTTTACGGACAAGCGCACAGCAATGACGTAGAGAGCATAGCAACCACCCTGGGAGGGCCTATGAGCCATAACAACCAGTTGACCAATCAACACAGGGCAAGCCCTCCAAGCCTGGAGGCACACCAATCATGAGCCTGTGCGTAAGCCTGTGCGTACCCCTAGACACTCCCCTTACGCTGCCCTATAAGATCTTTGGGGAGACCTTAGGAGCCGTCTTCTTTTTCTAGCCGTCTGCCATGGCGGGTGGGTGAAAGACCCGAGCTAACATGGGGTTAGCTCGTAAAACTACAATAAAGCCTCGTGCAGTTTGCAGCAAGCTCTCGAATCCGCCTGGTGATTGGGGTGACCGCGAACCTGGCCTGAGACCCCGATGCTTGAGTTTTCGGGGGTCTAACAATAAGGACAATGACCAGAGAACATTAAAACTAATAACTTCAGATGTGGGGGACCAAAGTATTTCTGCTATGGAATATTTTGAGATCCAGCCTTTGGTCTCACTAAACATGGAGCATCGGAAAGCTCTGGCCCACTATTGTATTGTTAATGCCAGTAGGGCTACTACTGTTTACCATGGCCTCAAGGTAATGTGCCTCTTATTTGCATCTCTGTGGGCCTAAGCATCTGAATAGGCCCTCACCTTGGCGGAGGGGCTAGAGGTGTGTGAGCAACTTGTGAAGATGGGAGGTTAGGAGTTAGGGGTGAGCAGCCAGAGCAGAGAGGGAACAAAGAGGGAAATGGTTCTCTCGTGGTATTAGCAGGATGGTTAAGAAACACCAGAAAAGATGGTTAATAAAGAAATGACTCTAGTTCCACAACATGGAACTGAGAGCTCTCTGAAGATGACAAGATGCCTGTGTTTGATCTTTATCGCCCTTGGGTTGCTGGGAGCTTCCAGGTCCACACACCCCCACTCAGGCCGAATTTCATGGCTGTTGTGGGTTAAAGCTGAGACAAGCTGGGTCACGACATTCAGACAGTAAAGTGAGATTGAAGTAATGTGTGGACAGGCAGGAAGTCCAGAATACCATGACTCTTAACCAGTCAGAGCTGACACACAGAGCCTAGGAAATAGTGGCAGTAATACCAAAGCAGTATATAAGAAAGCACACAGGCTGAAAAAGAAACATAATTGATGGCAAAGAGCAATGGAAGGAAACAATAATGACCACAGCCTCCAAGTTCCCACCACTTTCTCTCCGAGATATTAAATATGCTACTCATTATGGATGAAATAATGTGTGAATCTTTACCTGGCCTAAAGGTGGGCACTCCATGAACATCTCAAATGTACAGCATCCTGATTTTAACATTCTGCTTTGCTGAAGGAAGGCAGGACACAAGTGGAAAAGCATATTGTTGTCATTCCAGGGTAAAAATGCTAACCACGGAAGCCTGACAGCAAAGATTTTGTTTCGTCAATCATCAGAACCCGGATGAAACCAGAACACACAGCACATGTCTGGAATTCCAGCATTTATATGTGAGGTGAGAGACAGAGACATGAAAGTATCGTCTGGAAGCTTGAAGAGCAAATAGGCTGCATGTGGCAGTACAGCAGACAACAAGAAGAGCCTGTCTTAAAACTAAGTGAAGGAGAAAATCAACCTCAAAAGATGTTCCCTGACCAACACACACAACATGTGGCATAGATGCACACACACACCCCCACACAAACACATGCTGATGCATACTCACACACATTCAGTGGCACATATGCACACACACATATACACACTGTGGCATATATGCATGCACACACACACTGTGGCATATATGCACACACATTTGCACACACACGAACACACTGGCATATATGTGTGCACACACACATAAGTACACACAGCACACACACACTGTGGCATATATGCATGCACACACATATCAAGCACATACACAGTAGTAATTTCTAATAAAATTATACTTGTAACAAAGGAATGAGAAGGCATGGTAACTTTGAAGAGGAAAGTATTATTTTCATAATGATAAAAATGACCATTTCTAAAGAAAAATGACTGATAGTTTTGTCTGTTAATTTCCTAGTTAGCTTTCTATTGCTGTGATAAAACACCAAGGCCAAAAGCAACCCAGGGAAGAAAGTGTTTGTTTCATTTACACTTTTGGGTACCATTAGGCCGGGAGAGAGTCAAGGCAGCTACTCAAGCAAGTTAGGTATCTGAGGTAAGAAACGAAGCAGAAACTGGAAAAACACGCTTACTAGCTTTTTCTTCATCTTGCTCAGCCTGCTTTCTTAGACAACCCAGGAATGCTTGCCCTCAAATGGCACTGCCCACCATGGACTGCCCCCCCCCCATCAATCATTAATCAAGAAAATGACCTACAATTAAAGGTTGGCTCTATGAGATGGAACCCATATCTGGAAATGATCAGGTAGCTATAAACCTGGGGCTAGATAGGCTATGGGACCTGAAACTGTTGTTCAGCTAAAGCAGTGTAGCAATGTCATGGCACTCTGCTACACTCAGAGAGTAGTGTCTTGCTCAGCCATCATTAGAGAAGCTTCTACCTGCAGTATAAGGGAACAAATACAGAGACCCACCCCCAGCAAATGTGCTTAGTGACAAACGTTGAAACACTCACTCCAACTGATATGTCTTCAACAATCTCCTCCCCTCGTGGATCAGGAAAAGATTCTAAGGGCCAGTGGGTACAGAAAACACCAAGGAAACAATGCCTTCCTGACACAACAGGTCTGATACACATGTGAAATTACAGAGGCAGTGGCACCATGCACAGGGTCTGCATACTTCCAAGCCAGATGAGACCACAGTGCTAATAGAAGGAAGTGGACATGATCTCCCATCCCTAACTCAGAAGCTATCTCCAAATGCTAATTGCTCGAAAAGGAAAACTCAGTTTTCTCCAGTGGAGTTTCTTTGGGTATAGAAGTCACACTCAGGGGCAGGACCCACACTCAGCTGTAGATGGCAAACTCAATGGGATTTCGGGAGATATTTTGTCTTATAATGGTTTGTCTGAGCATTTTCTCTTAGTCTACATATCTTTTGCTTATATATAATGGTTTCTGATTTTGTGGGGGTTTTTTAGTTTTTAGGTATCGTGTGTATGTGTGTGTGTGTGTGTGTGTGTGTGTGTGTGTGTGTGTGCAGGACTGTGTCTCAATGTGTATATGTGCTTCTCATGCTTTTTCTTTTTTGTCTTTGCCTTTTTTGTTTTATAAAGAGAGAAAGAAGGCATGGAGTTTTAAGAGTGGGACAGTGGTGATGATCTGGGAAGAGATGGGGCAGGGAAACTGTGATTATAATATATTGCATAAAAATCTATTTTCAATTAAAAAAATAAAGCAAAGGCTGTACAAAGTTGCCACAGAAGGAATTTTCTCAACTGAGGGTCTCTCTCCCCAAATTCCTCTAGCTTATACCAAGTCAGGACAATTATTTTATTGAGTATATGGACCAAAGTATCACAAAATACTTGTGCATCTTATTAAGATCTAATATGACAAAAAGCAAAAGATGATGTATGCTAAATAAAAACTTAAGTATTATTACAGGATACTTTGTTAAAGTTAGAAAAGAGGACCATCATTCAATAATTTTCCCTTCACCTCTCTCTTCTGCCTTACCTGCCATACATTACATTTGACAGGAAGTAAGTGGTTAATGGTTCCAAACAGAATCCTTTATAATAAAAATATGCATGGAAACTTTTACAAAGAAGAGTCAGAAAAACTGGTATCTATCAAACTTTGAAAACACACTAAAGACAATGAAAGTATCAATATAGCATTTATCTTATAAGTGGTAAGGTTCCCATACCTGGAATGTTGTATAGAAAGTCCAAGAGCTGCTCCTCTTCCATGTAGCTCATGAAAACACTTCCAAATGCTTGTGGAGACAAGTGGCAATGGTACAGAACTTTAAAGATGGCTTCCACCACACTGCAACCTTCCTTTTGGTCTTTTTCTGTGCCAGTAGCTTGTTCTTTAAAAGAGTGAAAATGTGGTGATCAATGGATATGATCATCATCTTATCACTTCCCTCAGCATTGTCCTATGACTCACACTTATTCATGATTTGCACTTGAGAAACAGCATAATCCTTGAGGGCTACAATCATTCAACTTCATGGTTACAAATATACCTGTGGGTAACTATGGAAAATTATCTGTGACAAGGACCATAAGGGCATCATTTCAAAAGGTGAGGCCAGGGTTCCTGTGTTGACATAATTCTTTCTCCCTTAAGGAATTATTTTGTCTATATTCCTCATTTAAAACTATACATATTCAAGACATATTTTGAAAGTCTAGGTAGCAAAGAAAACTAAAAGTTTACCATGAAAAACTTCACTTGTCTTTGAATCATGCAATCAATTCTGAAAGACAGATTGTGAATATTTCCTAAATATATTGACATCATCATTTCAGAATGAAGCAAATTTTCAATTAGTTCTTTGATTAAACCTTATGGGAAATTATAGAACAACAAAGCTATTTTAATTGCACTTGTCATCCCTTCTCTGGCTCCATTACGGTTTCCTTTAAAGATCAGTAATCAGAGTACAGGCATCACTGAAGTTATATGGTACATGGAATTGAGAAAGCATTCTTATTTTCTTGTGTAATGTACAGAAAATCATAATAAAGAAAAATGTGTACTGAGTTAAAGATAGTATCAACTCATGCCCCTTAATATTTTAATATCTTCTATTAATATAATCTAGGGTTATTGGGAAAGAGTATACTTCCTTATTCTTGCTCATTTGTAAGCTTATCATTTTTATTTTATAATTTTATTTCTTGGATTTGCTTTTAAGAGGTCACATTTACCTGGAAATTAAAAAGCAATACCATAGATTTTATGCAGAGAACACATGCTAGTCTTTCTTCATAAAATCAATTTCAACCAAATTTATTTTTATTTAACTAGTCATCATTGTCCATACCCACCTTCTTTGTGTTCTTAAAACACACATCATCTGTTTGATGGAATCTAACTCCATTACCTGGGGTAGGCATGCAGCCAAGGACTGGCTGATTGGGCCTGACACCACTCATCCACTATGATCGGGTCATAGATGGGCAGGTAACCAACAGGAACCTTCCTCAAGAGTTTTGCTGTAATAATTGGTGGGTGTTATTCTTTTGACTGTATTTGATAAACTGGTAGAGTAGGCTGCAAATTGCTTGGGATGGGTATTTGGGGAAGAATATTACTAAAAATTTATCAGCTACAATAAGAACAAGAAATAAGACCACTTTTTTCTGAAATTATCTTCCAATTCTGGTCAACCCAAAAGGATTCATGTGCTGTGTCATTTAAATGTGCTTTCCCAGTTCCTTTTCTTTCACCAGTCTAGAATGTTGTCCTCTAAAGACTGTGAAATGCTATCTTCAGGGCATGACAAAGCAATTAAATAATGATCACATATCAACCACTGTCACTTACATGGAGCCAGTATAAGATTAGGCTTATCAACCATCAGTCATTGCCAGGAGAGTTACACAGGGCCAGTCCCCTCCCTACTCAACTATTGGCTACTGATGGATTCTGAGATAGAGGAAGTAATTGCTTTCAATTGTGAACCCATTGATGGGCCTACCAGGCTCTAATGAATAGATCTAAACACATGGTCACACAGGAGGACTGGTAGGTTCCAAAACATAAGGTAATGGAAGCAGGACAAGAACATGTAAAGGGGAAGGAGGATTGACAGGGTTTCGGTGAGGGCAATCAAAATGCATTTTCTACATTTCTCCATTCATGGAGCTATTAAAGAACAAATTCAGTAAAAGTTAAGTCATTTTCAAAAATTATATATATATATATGCATTTATATACACAATATAATATATGCATATATTATATGTAAATATATATATAGAGAGAGGTTGTATTGTTGTTGTAATAGCTAGGGCTAGGCACCTCACTGCTACTTATTCTCTGCATTTGACCATTTTTCTTCTCTCTCTCTCTCTCTCTCTCTCTCTCTCTCTCTCTCTCTCTGTGTGTGTGTGTGTGTGTGTGTGTGTGTGTGTGTTTGTATACCACATAGGGTGGTAATACTCTTCCCAAAATCATAGATAACAAAATTCCCATTATTCAATACCACACAAGAGAAACCTCCCTTTCTACAGTTACCTTTGTACCCATAGATGACTGTAGCTCTTACCCTTCACAAAGTTTTTCCTCAGCAGGTCAAGGATAGATACTATGCAGATCCTTAAGTAGTCACAGAGCAGAAAACAGGTGTCAGGGGTGTCTATCCCCAGTTAGTACATCTAGAATGCATCTACATCTAGGGTTCAGGAACATCACAGAAAATGGAGTGGAAGGACTGTGAGAGCCAAAGGACCAACAGTTACACTTGAGATAATGTCTTCTAGTCCTGACAGGCAAAGGGCATCCACGAAATCTCAACAATAAGGCTACCTAAACAAGACCTGCACATCTGTCACTCTGGTCACATGCAAACACAGATGTGGAAACTTTCACTAGTCTCCACCCATAGACGAAGAGCTATAGGCAATTCATGGCTTCTGACAAGCAGTTTTTTTTCCAAGATGAGCTAGCTCCCTGATCCCAGTGGTCAGCACTAAATACTTGCACACATGCGTAATACTAGATGGATCCAGTAGCTTCTACACATACATACACACACACACACACACATGCATTATATAATGTGAGTATATATTTAAAGGAAACAAGTCTTGAATTTGAGAAGCAGTTGTAGGGCACTGGAAGAGTTGGATGGGAGACAGGGAGGAGTGCAAAATTATGCAAATAGAGTACCCATGTATAAAATTCTCAAAAAATCAATATTCTTACTCTATGTCAGTCACTGTTGCAGATTATAAGGGGCTTCAGCTTCTTGGTATACACTGTGCAAACATACATAATTTATGTTGATATGCACACATGAAATCATGACAGCAATGTAAGGGTTTGTGACTGCCATTCCTGCTTGTGTCTGTTGTCCTGACACAAGTGACAATAACACCCTATTCTATTTTTTGTAAAATTTTTGTTTTACTTAATGTGAATGAATGTTTTGCCTGTATGTATATCTGTGCACTACTTGCATGCCTCGTGCCTGCTGATACCATAAGAGGACATGGATACCCTAGAACTGGAGTTAAAGATGTCATGAGCTGCTATATGAGTGATGGGAAATTTCTCTCCCCATCCAATAAGCCCAGGCAAGAGAGGTATCAAACAATTCTAGATATGTTTAGGGCTGTGTCTTGGGAACCTAATAAAGATCATGGCCTTTGCCAAGTGCCCAGTCATAGTGTTTTCTTTCTCTTTGATTTTTCCTCTTATACCATGGGGTTATCTTGTGCTGACTTTCATTCTGATATTCCCCTAGTGCTTTCAGAAAACTCACCTTACATTTAAATTTTTAACCCACTTTTTTGAGGGGTGGGAAACCCAGGCTATTTTGCTGGCATTTGATGGCAGAGGGACATAAGGCTAATGTTAAACAAAGTCGAATTGGGCCAGGAGGTGGTGGCACACGCCTTTAATCCCAGCACTTGGGAGGCAGAGGCAGGCGGATCTCTGAGTTTGAGACCAGCCTGGTCTACAAGAGCTAGTTCCAAGATAGTCTCCAAAGCTACACAGAGAAACCCTGTCTCAAAAAACCAAAAAACAAACAAACAAACACAAACAAAAAAAACCCAACAACAACAACAACAACAACAAAACCAAAGTGGAATTGAGCATAATTAAATTGTTTTGGCATTTTTTGTTTTATTGTTTGTTTGAAATTCAGCTTGCAACATTAGTCCTGAGGTTCGTGACACAGTACTCCCAGACATGGCAAATTGACTTTTGGGAAAACAGTAACATCCTGCAAGTGTGTCTGAGTTTCTCTCCTGAAGTAGGGATTAGCAGAACTCTGATTGTGTCCACAGCAGGTCAGAAGGCCAGCATTGCAGAGGGAAAGGGAAGCTCTCACTCCTGGAGATACTGGCACACAGGAAAATGTAAACAAGCATTACTAAGTTACTGAGGCTAATTCCTACTAGCCCACATTCTCTTTTTCTTTAGTAATACTCTGAACAACTGTGCACACATTGAAACATTCATGTTGGGCTGTAGGAATGGCTCAGTGGTTAAGACTACTTATTGTTCTTACACAGGCACCAACAATTCTAGTTTAATGGGATCTTGCTTTCTCTTTCTCTATAGGTCCTTGTATGCAGTGATACACATAAATTCATGCAGGCTGACATAAATGAGTAAATGTCTAAAAAGTCAGAAGTGCACAGGCTACCATGTTTCCACTGCTCTTCTTCACTGAAAGCCACTAAGAAATAGTTATGGTAAACAAATGTCTATGCTCGAGTTGTCTGATCTTTTTTATGGGTGCCTTAGGCATAAATCTTACAAAGGGGAACAGGAGACATTACTCTTCCTTCCTGTAGTTCCTGCTTCTCTTCCAAATGCAGGTCTAGTCCTTCTTCCCCAGCCTCCGCACACCTTTTCCTTCTTCTCCCTCTGGGCAACACACTGGTTTATCTAATATATAATTCTTTAGGTATGACTTTATGATGCCTTCAACAGTGAAAAAATGGAAATTGATGAAGTAGGTACAGGTGGCAGAGGTAGGAGGGCAGATGCCAGTGAGATCAATCAGCCTGGGCTACAGAGCAAGACCTTGTCAAAAAAGAAAAATAAATAACCAGTGAATTCTATCTACCTAAAGCATCATTGTGCAAATAGATGTCATTCACTTTGTCATTTGCAATCGATAATTTTACTCAAGAGAATCCTCCAATGTGACACCATCTGCCTTATCCTGTTCTCTCATTGTCTTCCACAGTCAATCACTTTGGTAACTTCTACATACTTCTCTTCCTCCACACTACGGAAAGAGTTTCAGGCCAGGAACTGAGCATGGTTGAATTTTCCAGGGTTTTGATTGGTTTGTTTTTTTCTTTTGTGGTATACCTGACAGTGTGGACTTTGCTTTTG